TATAGACACATGGATTTTATGGAACAAACTTATGAAACACAAAAGTGATTTTATGAAACACAAAAGAGCATAAGGCAAAAGAGAATTATATAGGTGCATTCATCTAATTTTAAAATTGTCGTAATCAAAGGTCATGTTCTTTATTTATTGATCTTAAAAAATATTTTTTTATTTATTCAATACAAATGGGTCCGGATCGTTCGGCTGGGTGGAATCCGCCTAGAAGAAGTTAAGGATTTTAAATACCTGGGCGCTCACCTCAACGAGTTCGGATGGGTTGATGGAGACATTACAGAGAGAATTAAGACGGCAGGAAGATGCTTTTACTCCCTCAAGTCAGGCTTCTTGGACAAAAAGGAAATCTCAAAGACCACTAAGAAGATTGTCTTTAAGAATACTTTCATCCCTATATTGACGTATGCAAGCGAGTCTTGGACCCTCACTGCCAAGCACAAAAGCCAAATCCAAGCTATGGAAATGCGCTATTTAAGGAAAATAGAGGAGAAAACAAGAAGAGATCGCGTTAGGAATGTGACCATACGAGGTAGTCTGGACCTGAGGCCTGCAGAGGAGATAATCCAAGAAAAACAACTTAGGTGGTTTAGACATATCTCACGAATGGCTGAAAACAGAATTGCCAGGGCTACCTACGAGGTCAAAGTGGAGGGGAGGAGGCCACAGGGAAGACCAAGAAAAAGATGGAAAGAAGGAGTTAAAGAAGCCTTTGACAGGAGAGGAATGGACTGGAGTAGGAGAAGACAGCTGGCACAGGATAGAGATTCGTGGATCAGACTCTATAAGAAGGAACCTCACACTGCTCACCGGTAACAGAGGACTGGATTAAGTTAAGTTAAGTTACAAATGGGTAGATAACTATACTGACAATAAACATGTAGTGCTGTTTTACTTTTTTTATATACCCTTCCTCGCCTTTTCTACTATACAGGGATTTCTTATGCCAGAGGAAAGGGTGGGGAATCGTACCAGAGTTAAAAGTCCACTGGTCACCAGAATTTGAGCTCGTATTCTACGGTTTATCAATATTGCCGGGCAATCGTTTTTTGCCCATGCATTAACGCACTCGGCCATCTCTCCCTCCGTATATTTTATCTTCGATCTTCTACTTGGTTGACGTTTTATAATTGAATAATTATCTTTCTGTAATTAATATAGAATCGATTTACATTAAACCACAATCCGTTGGTCTACCCCGGATCGATCTTAACAATTCCTTTCCCATTTATTATCTCTGTAATTTAGACTTTAATGGATGTTGGATAATGGGTATAGAGCATTCCTTGCTTATTCAACTGACGCTTTTAACTTCATACAATAAATTGATCGCTTATCGTAAAGTACCCTATATACTTTGAAAGAGACTACAATCGATTATGGAAATTTCCTTTCCTTTCTCGATAGGATAGGGCGATAGCTCAGAGAAATTAAACGAGAACATGACCGAAAGGAAGTCAGACGAAGTGTTTGTTCAAATTGACAAATATATATCTCTTTGGAAAGTGGCTGGTTTGTTTACTCTGACGTATTCTTTGGGTGAGTTCAAGATATCGAGGAACTGGTTAATCTGGAGCCTTTTTAGTGTGTTTCCTGTACATGTCTTCACCATTTACAATATCTGCTTCGAGTGGCCAATAAAGCCTAGAGCCTTGTACAGTTACATGGCAGTATCGCAGGTAATTTTGATTGTTCTCTGCGTGTTTCTCATGTGGCTGGTTAACCTGACCAAATTGGAAAGCTTCAACAAATGCTTAAGAAAGATACAGGTAGTGGATCATTACCTATCTTCAATCGGTGAGCCAATACCTCCGTCAAAACCTTGCAAGGTACTGATTTTGATAATTTTCACAGTAATTTCCACGTTTTTTCTTCGTTTACCTAATTACAGAACATATTATATTTGTGTAACAGCATTCATAATAAATTATACTTACGTTTTGATGTTTATGATCCACTTTTTATTGGATAAAATGTTTACAGAACTCTTCCTTCGTTACCAAGCACTCACTAATGCCTTACGGAAAAGTTACACATTACAAGGAAAGAAAGCGGCAGCCCTTTTAGAGAAAATGGTTTTCTGCTACGAATCCCTTTGTTCATCTGGCGAAAGACTGAATAATTTCTTTTCGTTGCAGATTTTAGCTATCCTCACAACTGTTTTCATCATTTCCTTCAGTGAAGTTTATGCAATCATCCATCTCTTCTATGATGGCAAACCATTGATGAATAAGAAAGCCATGTTTGTAAGCAAAGTTTGCTGGACGACTATTACCTTTCTAACAATTTGGAAATTTGGTCATAGATTTTCTACAATATCAGACAAGGTATTATATGTGTTATAATAATTAAACAATAATTTCTAGAATAACATTTTACTGAATTATATTCATTTTTGATAACATTAAAAACAATGGCATTCTACTACATTTCTGCAAAACTGCCAGATCTAATATCGAAATTATAAAAATAATTTTTAGATCCAAATGTTCGAAGAATTTCACTGTTTACAGTATGTTATAAAATGTTCACCTTAATCTTAACAAGTCGAATAACGGAATACGCCGAGGAAATTATCGGAGCCTACCAATGCGGATTTAGACGGAACCGTTCGACTATCGATCAACTATTTGCTTGACGGCAGATATTGCAGAAAAAAAATACAAAGTACAACAGCATTGATCACCAGCTGTATATCGATTTCAAAAAGGCTTACGATTCAATTGACCTACAGAAACAGTATAATATTCTAATCGAGCAGGGGATTCCAAAAAAAAAAAAAATATATATATATATATATATATATATATATATATATATATATATATATATATATATATATATATATATATTAAATCTATTCTGAATGTGCTTGACGGAAACTGTCAATTAAGTTAGAATCGGTAATAGTTAGTTCGAAAAATAGTAGTGAAAATTGCTCTATCCGAGGTAATACCTACCGAAAAAGTGTTGGATCTGGGTGGAACAATACCCGTGCTTGGCTATGCAGATCATCTGATCCTGCTAAGCGAAGACACAGAAACTATAAAACGTTAATGTAAGCCGGTAAAGAACTAGGCCTCGAAATAAATAAGGATTATACAAAATATATAGTTAGCTGCAAAACTGACGATATTGCCGGTGATATCGATATAGACGGTAATATGTTTGAACACGCAGATAACTTTAGGTATCTAGGGTCTAAGATAACAAGAAAAAACGAAATTTAAGATGAGATTAAGTTTAGGCTGAAAGCGGGAAATGCTTGCTATTTTTCTGTGACGAATCTATTTAGCTCGCGTCTCTTGTCGAGGAACTTAAAAAACTACAATCTATAAAACCATTATCGTTAAAAACATTAAGGGATGAGCAATGTCTTAAGGTATTTGAGAATAAAGTATTGCGTAGAATATTCGAACCGAAGATGGATGAGTTAACCGAAGAGTTTAAACAGTTACACAATACCGAATTACGTGAACTTTATCCGGTTATTATAATTGAGGTGATTACATCGTGGCGAATCAAATGGGCTTGTAAAATTGTTGGGCTTGGTGACAAAATAATTCCTAAAAGGTTAATATTTGCTGTACCGAATCGTAAACGTCCGAGGGGTAGATCGATGCGAAAGTGGGAATATTTCATTAAAGCCAATCTGAAGGTACTAGATTTGGACGGCGGTGAGTTGGAAGCGATTGGTGGTGTCGGCATCGAATTTTCAAGCTCGCTAAGCCATTTTTTATTATTAATATATTTGTTTCAATGAATGATCTGAGCCATATACTTAAAAAACAATTACAATTATTTTTTAAAACTATTTTGTTGAGTTGTTTCTGGACAAGGACACTATGTTAAAAATATCTCTAAAAACATTATTCAGGAACCCCTAGCTCATGTGTTGGGCGATAACATGCATCTAGTTATCCGCACAATAACATAAAGTATCGTATAGCCCAATTCCTAGAAATAAACAACTATAAATGTTTCCACAAAGTTTACTGCCTTGATATAGAAGGCTCAACAAGATTCATTGACGGAAAAGTAGGCACTCATAGTGGATAACACGATCAGATTTGAAACCAACGATCAGCATCAGGGTATTTAAGGTACAGACAGAGAAAGAAGAAATGTATAGAAAATGCATAATTTACCTGAAGAAAAGTACAGAGATGAATTCGGTGAGAGAATACTTAATACAAGTAATTTCTTACAGATACTCGGTGTTGGAAGGGAATAGATGCAGACTATGACAAAGAAAAATATTTTGGACTCGTTAGGAATTCTCCATCAACAGATATATTGATTTAGCTCTTCACAAATTTGATTCTACAAACCGTTCTTGGCGTCTCTGATATGTTTTCCAATCGCCCAACCTAACTCTCTCTAATATTTTTATACATTATTATCTTTTGATTGATGAGTATAGTTGTGTCATTTAGCAACTCAGCACAGTTGAGCAGCTAAATAGTAATTAATCTATTGCTAACTGGTCTTCAAGGACCATTTACCATCTTTGTCAAGGACCACCTTTTTCGTCCAAGGTTATTAGCGTTGTCATAAGTTGAAAAATGACTACTGTCTTCTACGTTGCGTGTTATTTATTAAAATCCAACTTCTCTTTCAAAAATCTTCAGTAAAAGAAAAAAAAAAAACAATTTCATCACTATTTTCATCTGACAAAGCCAAAGGAAGGTTTTAATGATATCTTTTAGATTTGTATTGACCGATGATATATATGTAATGATTTTTGTGTGAAGAGTTGTGAAAAAATTTTTGACCGAGAGCCTTGCAAATAAATTTCGTCCCTTCTCAGTATCGGTGAATGTCAACATTCGACAATCTAGAGTTTAGTATGGGGGTGAAAGGTACCCGACTACTACACTAACCTTCAATATTCACAGATATTAAGTTCTCAAATTGAATCTGAATAAATTATCAATTTTAATATTTAATTTCAGGCCAAAGAGTTTAATTCGCTTCTATATCGTCTCATGATTGAAGATAAGACTAATTTAGTTCTACATAACGTAAGTTTAGATTTCGTTCAAATTCTATTTTATATGTTTAAATATTTAAATAGGCATAGAATTACAGAAAATTTTGGATGAATTATTAAATTTATGTTGTCTGAACAGGAAAAATTAAGGCTCCACTTCACAATGAAAAGAGAAATCTTCTTCACAGCTTGTGGTTTATTCAAGTTGGACTGTACTCTAGTTCATTCGGTAAATTCACTATTTACATATTTAATATGATGAAAGAAAATCCTTAAATACCTGAAATGTTACTACATGACTAAGAAGTTAACACCTTTGAATTTTCTTTTCTTACCTGGCCATTTCTGGCATATAGGTTTGTCAGCAGAATTGGTGTATTGCACTTGGGGTTTGCGCATGATATTCCCGCCGATAAAACTCTATTTGTTTCGTTTAACTTTTTTAATACTTATAATTAACGTTCAAATTTGGAATAACACATAAAACAGGGTGTTCGGTGTCGCAGTCCCGGTATGCGACTGTGCACCTTCCGATTGGGCTACACCTCGTTTCTCCTCCTTATGGTCAGGTGGGTATCAACCATATCTGACCTTTCCCCCTTCCAGTTCCTTTTCTCCACTGTTCCTTTGGCTCTTCTATGTCCATTGGCTTAAGTAGTGCCAAACCTTCCTCTTCCCACTCCTCTGGTAGGCGTTCTCCCTCTCCCCCCCCCCGGATGAAATGCGTAGGGACCACCACTTTCTTCTATCTCCTCACACACTCCATGAAGTGAGAGGTTTTGGTCTATACGAGTGTCTCCTCGCCAACGTAATTAACCTCCAACCACCCTCAATCTCTCTGCAAAAATTTTGTTCGATCCGCTGTTCTTACCATGAATCCATTATTTATGCCACCTTGATTGCCTCTTACTATGCTGAAGCCAATAGTCTCGTAATCAGGCTTCGTTCTCGATCCGATTGTTCAGTCAGCAACGAGTCTTGCCATGGTCAACGAGGCGTCACGTCTATCCAGCTGCTTCCTCTGGCCCCACAAAATTAGGCCGATATTTTATTTACTACTATGAGCTGGCACCTAGTAACGCTATCCTCAACCAACACACCTCTGGTATCGGTACGAACCGAATCGCGTTCGTATCGGAGCATTCCACAACATCCCTTTATTGGAGCACAACCGCTTCAAGAGCGGCTACGCCATTACAGTCAACATATTATTATTATTATTTCGCGGTACTACAACCCAGTTACAAGTATTGGCCTCTTCTAACCGTTTTCTCCAATCGTAACGGCGTTGGTCCAACGCCATCCATTTCCTAACTCCCAGCATTCTGGAGGCGTCTCTCGCCACACCATCCGACCATCTCAGCCTTGGTCTCCCTCTTCTCCTTGTTCCATAGATTGGGTGTGCCAGTAATATTTTAGGCACTTCTCCGTCCACCACCCTGCATATCTTAAACGCCTCAACTTCATTGCTTTCACAACTTTAGCTTCTCCTAAATCATTGAACAGAAAAGAAAATGACACAAACAGTTTATATTCAATTTGAAATACTTAATATTTAAGCTATAATTGAGTATAAATTATGGATCCAGGGTAGTTTAAAAAAAATTTTAATAAAGGAACGAGCCGTTTTTAAATAAAGACTAGTGATGGAAAACACATTTGCGTACTCTTAATCTAAAATAATCAATTGATACTAGAAAATTCAAGTGTGTTTTGGAAATAAAAATGTGTTGAGGAGAATACTTTTGCGCATGTGTAAGCAACAATAGAACATGGAATTAACTTAAATTCAGTGCCGTATCAAGTGTGGAGCAGAGAACGGGATGGCCGAGCACGTTGAAGATGGGTCCCAGCTTGCCCGGTTATGAACGTTGTGGGTTCGATTCCCACATGTCGGTTACTTTCCATTTCGTCCATTACTTCCACACGAAATGAATCGTGACATTCCCACTCTAGCAAGTACGCGAAGGAAACCTTAAAGGTAGCCCGTCAGGAATTGGCAAAAAGGAACCACTATAGGCCCACTTGCCGGACTAGTTCCCCCACCCAATACCAGTACCAGTAGTGTGGGGCAAGTAGGGCATGTGTTTTAATTTTCATGCCCCTGTTATAGTTGACATAAATATGTTGCTCTCTTTGGTTAGTAGCGTAGCTCCTAGGATATGCACTGACTTCCTATGCTTAAAGTCCTAATGTTGAATCCGGCTGATGACAATTTTTAATTAGCTATAGATGGACTCATTGACACACTCAGCCTCTACTAGAGTACTAAAGGTAGTACTCTTAATTAAAATAATTAAAGAGGAACCTGAAGGTTGCGTGTGATTTCAGCCCAATCATCTCTCTTGTCTTGAAGCAATACTTCAATACAAAATATTGAATCCAAGCTTGTAATGGTATAGGTTTTTTTCTCCTCTTTGATAATATATATTCATTTAAAACTCAGCTGTATTATCGTTTGTGACTGATTTAGATTCATTTATTTTTTTTTGCAGATGATAGCCGCGGCTACAACATATCTGGTCATATTGATTCAGTTTGGACAACTTTCTTCTAATACTGATTACAGTTCGACGTCAACTACTTCGAGTTTTTACAACGACACAACCACTCTACCAACATTCTTCAACACTGGACCAAGTAGCATAGTTGCGACAACAATCTAAGATAAAGGGATAACCAAGATAACCTCCCATCGTCATATGTTTAGTGCATACCAAATTTCACAGCCACTATGTTCTCAACAATTACAATCTTTTTAATTGTCAAATGACAGATGATGAAATTGACAGCAGAAATTCATTTTATTATTAAATTAAAATAATATATATCACAGGTTTTTGGTTTTTTTTTTTTTTTTGTAAGCTACTCTTCAATGAATTTTCCTTACTCATTTTATTATTTATTTTATTTTGTTTATACGTTATATGTGCACTCATAGTTTTTAATTGGGAATAATATTGTTCATAATATGGTGTGAATGTGCTCTCTGAATTCAATTATAAGTGTCCTTAATTGAGACAGATTGTAATATTTATCAATGAACAAGTAATCTAATCGAAATATTGATGATATGTTGTCATAACAATTAGATAGAAAAACCGAAAGTAATGATGACATAAAGAACTTTTTCAACCAATCAGATCTTTTTCAATGAAGGCTATTACTGTAAATGTATGTCAGAACATTTTACAAAATATGAGAAACACAAATGTCTAAATCGTTTGTTTCTCTGGAAAAGAATTTTTGTTTTATCTGCTGCCGACAAAGATGGGCAAAATCATAATCAATAAAACGTCGGAAACCTGATTACGATTGTAACTAGAGTTGCCCAAATCGATCTTGCACTTTGCGAGACCAAGACCAAGGCCGCCTAACTGTTGCAAGACCAAGACCAGGACTGGTAACAAAAATCAATTATTTAAATAAAAATTAAGGCAAAACAGTTACTAATACTTGACAACCTTAGTTACTATATGTTAAGTCCCAGTTACTGCGTGGAGTCCCAGGTGTCAGGGGACAGGTAAGAGAAGTTACTATCGCATATGCGACTGAGATCCAGAGAAACCCCAGCACATGTGCTAGGAAAATGCCCCAACAACTCCCTCCTTATAACACGCCGTCACCACAGAGTCAAACACGAACTGATGAGGCTCCTTAAACAGAGAGATTACGCCTGTTTCAAGGAGGTATATTGCATAGATACGGATGGATCCACCCGATATCCCGACATTGTAGCATTCTCTAAGACGGGAAAGTTGATTTTGGATCCTTCCGTGAGGCATACCTCCCTCCCTCGTAAGGCCAATGACCTCGATCAGGCAGGCAAAGTGGAAAAGGAGAAAAAACAGACATATGAGAAATGCATCCCTTTCCTTAGTGAAAAGTTCCGCGAGAGTTTCGGGCCGAGAGAGTTCCACGTGAGAGGCCTTTGGTTCCGAGCTCGCGGAACGATACCAGACTCAACAAGGAGCTTCATGGAGGGCCTTGGTGTCCACATAAAGGACGTGGCAAAGTTGGCGCAGAATATAATCCTCGACTCTCTGGGAATTATCCATCACGATGTGCATGGATAGGGTTCATGGGGGAGTTTGTTCATGGGGGAGGCATGCGTGTGTTACAGTATGTTTACATTATTTATTAACCACGTCCACTTCACTTTATGTATTTGTATGCATTTTATGAATTAGGTTAGGAAGAGAGAGGAGAAAATCTAGGGGGTAAGAAAAATGTATAAGGAGAGAGAAGGAAGAGAAAGGGATATAGAATGCTAATAAATGAATGAAAGAAACAGTTAACAAAAAATAATAATAATAAAAAAATAAAGAAAAAACAAATAAAGAAAAAATATATATATAAAAAAAAATAATGCATCTATAAAAAAAATTGTATACTATGCTTATACATATTGTTTATCCTATATAATTGTATATCAGTTTTAGAAAATTGTCTGTAGCGTTTAATAAGTATGCTGTGTTTGAAGCAATCCAATGTAATTGGGCAGCACCCTTTTATGATAATAAAGTAATTATTTCCTGGTATAACCAATATACTTTTGCATTTAACTCCTCTAATTTTTCATTCATGCTTAGTTAGAAAATTACAGTAATATCTCTATAGCAATTAGCTATTAAGTTACTGTAAGACTGTTGCGAGACTCTTGCGCACTAATTGTAACGTGAAATCACGTTATTAAAATCACAGTAATCTTAATCACATAATGAAAATTACTTTAATTGTTTAATCATAATAGTTGATTACGCCTATATATGGCTGTCGGTTTTTTAAGGAAAATCAAAATGAGTTTGGGTAATAAAACTAGTGTGTGTCACTTTTAGACACTTAAAATATTTGTTTAAGATCTTTTTGGATGTCTTTCAGACATATCGCAGATAGCTTTTAGATACCTTTTGGATGAAGTTATATAGCATTTCTCAAAAAAGGTATTTTTGACATCCTTTTGAGGATGGCTTAAAGAGTGCTAAATACAGTGCATAAGCCATCTTTTTGATGTCTGAAAGATGCCTTTCGGTGTATCTTTTAGACATGCCATGTTTTGATCAAGACATCTTTTCAATAAGTTCCAGACATTGAGCCCTTAAAACAGATAAATAAGGCAAAAGATGTGAAAGGGAAACAAAAGAATATATTACTTTAGTTATGAATCCGAGAGATTACAATTTACAATTAACCTAAACTATAAAAAATTATAATGACATATAAACTACACTAAAATTATAATAATATGTATGTATATAAATAATATAAAAATTTTCCTCAGGAAAAAAATTAATAATATTAAAAAAGTGGAAGAATTTAGAATTTAATTATTTGAGAAAAAACAACAAATTAAATTTATTATGATATAATATTGGGAATTAATAAATATAATGTAAATTAGAAATTAATTATAACTAAGTATTATAATTCTAATTACTTATGACTGAGAAATTAATAGTAATTTCTGGTGAAGTGTCTAAACTATGGCGGTGTTCTATTATAAAAGTTTTGATTCCCTATTAAATGAAAAAATAATCAGGCCTGATTTTACCGGTTTATTGTAGGAGATGAATATCTCTTCTTAATCCAGCTGGCTGCTAAAGAACGTAGAGAAACCGATAAAGATATACAGCAAAGTAACTACTGGCTTAGGTAAATACAAATGATGGTAGACACTGACTATATTAAAGCGAGATGCTCAGTCAACTATCTGAACATCTAGATGGCTAGAGAAAAAAAGACGCTCGAAATTCATTCATAAGTAGCCAATTTAGCTCGTAATCGGGGATACCATTCATTAGTTTATAAGACAGGTGATTGTTTTTAGATTCAAATTCAATTACATAAAATTCTCTGGATTCATATACAAATATTTTTTGTATAAATTAAAAAAAAAAAAAACGAAAATACTTACTAATCATAATTTACTATTTATAACTTTGTGTAAAATAAAAAATTAAAATAAAAGTAACGGCCTGAACAGATGGTAATATCGATAAATAATATATATAATTTTTGTATCGATTGTTATCAATCGATAACGGCCTTAACAGATTGGCATGTGATGTCGAGTTCTCAAGCGAAATGTAAACGCCTGTGTCACTTCTAGACATTTCTTTATTGTTTTTGTTGCTTGAAAGATATTATTGAAGTTAACGATTTAAATGTTCACAATATTTCTCACTTCTTCTTCGGTGCATACTATTTATTTTCAAGTTTATTTATTATCAGCCAATTTTACACCAATTTTTAAATTTTGTCAACTTAATGACTACACATCACAATTACCACGTTTCGGCTCGTCGAGCTATTTTCAAGTCTAAACAATTTTTTCAATTTACAATCATATATTAACTTTACATATTTAAAAATATAAAGATTCTTTTTATACACCTAAATACCCATCATGTACCTGTCCTTTTCGCTTATGCGAATTGCAAGCGTCTACTCATAATAAAATTCCTTATTATTGTCATGTCCACCTTTAATTATTTTATAACATTATTATTACTCAATTCTTTCTTATTAAACGATTCAAATAAGTTAAAATTGCCTTGTTCATGTGTCACCCACATGTCATCCGTCTTCTTTCTCTTCTGTGACTGGTTATTCTTATAGGAGTAGGGGAAGAATATTATAAACATATACAATGATGTTTCCAATTTATTTCAAACTTTGATTTTTTTAATTGAACTCACGTAAAATGTATTCATATTATCCACGTCTGTATGATTATTTACCGAGTTTTTTTTTAAGTTTTTAGTTATATATATTGCTTCCTTTATTTTAAGTTTATTGGTATTACTTTCATTATGCAAGATTTTGCCGGTTTTTAAATCAAATTCATGTTTTGTTTGCATAGTATGTTGAGGGAGTCCAGTAGCTAATTTAATTTTTGTGTTTTTTGAATTACAACTTTGTTTATGTTGTTTAAGCCTTTTTTCAAACCATTGTGATGTCTGTCCAAAATATGATTTGTTGTTGCAATTTTTACAATTTATTTTATAAATAATATTCGTTAATTTATCGGTAGGTACATATCTTTAGTTTTGGAATCAATTGTATCTGTTTTATTAATTGGTTTGCTTGCAAATTTAATTTCATTTACATCATATTGTTTAAATGTTCTTTCTATTTTATCCGTTAAATTTCTAATATATGTGACGCTAAAATATTTTTACTTTCACTTACGTATATATGTAATATATAGTAAGTGTAAGTATTGCAATCGAGAAAATTTTTGAATCTGAGTTTTCAACGGAAATAGACGTTTTGAGGTACCCTGAGTCGAAATGACCAAATCCCGAAAAATGGTCTGTGTTTCTGTGTGTTTGTATGTTAGCAGTCTAGCTCAAAAACGAAAAGTCCTACGAAACTGTTATTACGTATTTAAGATGGGTATATGCCTTAGATGTGAAGGCAACTTTTTCCTTAAAATCGGCTAACCGGAAGTGCCACTTTATATCAACGCTGAAACACATTTTTCCAATTTTCTCAAAAAACGGCTCTATTGATTTTGCTTAAACTCGGTGTATCATTGTATAATAAGGGTCTTTAATATCAATTAGGTCTTATCCCCATTGATGTCACTTTACAGGGCTTAAATGCTCAATGTTCATATACGTCTTCCTCTAAAGTACCTTAAATATGGTTTATTTTAAAAAGTTAATCATTTTACATTATTCAAAGTAATGAAAAAATGCTAAATATAACATTTGAAAATATTTGATAAGTTAATAAAGGAGAAAAAAAAAATGCAGAAAAACCTGCGTTGCTATAGACTGTAGCGCCTAAACGGATGTACCGATTTCAATGAAAATTTATCTATACAACATACTTCAATGAAAAAAAGCTGAAAAAAAAGTTACGAGCGATGGTAAAATGAAATTCCGAATAACTCAAAAAGTATACTTTTTTGGGAATATCGTATTATGGTTTTTTAAAAGTTTATGAATTTCCTAAAAAAAAAACAAAAAAAAATCGTTAAGATCGGACAACTAGGAGGAAAGATATGGTCTCTAGTTTTTTTTTCCTGAAGAGGTGAAAATTTGGTTAAATTTAAAATATACTATTTTAATTGTTGAGACTAAAAAAACTTTTTTTCTGCAGATATTTAATCAAGTATCTTTCCTAAGAACATCTTTCATAAGAAATAAGTACCTAAATTTATACCTTTATTTACAGTTCTATATTTCAACACTGCAATCGCCACTTCTGGAATCAACTTACTCATATTCTGCATCGATAACTTTTTCAACAAAAAATATCACTTAAATGACTTCACTTAAAAATATTGAAATTAGAGTTAGTCATTCAGAAGTTTATAAAAGCAAAGAAAGTTGTGTGGTTTATAAAAGCAGATGGAGTGACTAGATTTTTATTGCCTGTTGTCGATGTATTAAATAGACATTTTGTAATTATAATGGTCTTAATGACTTGTTATCTGTAAGCTTTAAGCTTTAGCTCTGTTTAAAATGCACTTGAAAAAAAGTTATTATAGCCCAGCATTGCCAGAAAATAATTTCTATTCATATTAGATCGGTAAGTGAAAGTTGTGTGTTGCGCGCACCAGATTTTTTAAGGTTGTTGTTTGTTTTCATTATATTTTTCATTTTGTGTCTTAATGTCATGTATATTGTTCATAGAAGGTTTTTTTCTCCTGCATTTTAAATTTTTTTTGCGTGTTTTTATTCTTCCAGGTACGCTGTGTTCGATAATTCTGCGAGCTCTAAAAAAAACAATGACGTTCGAGAACAATTCACTACCACACTCGTAATGTCCCAATTATCTCGACAAATTCAATCGTAACTTGTGTCTAAATTTAGCCATCGAAATTCTACCGATTCCTTGCAAATTTATTTCAATTATCTATCTAAATAAACGTTATATTGTCTACTTGCCGATCGATTAAGACCATCCATTGATAACGAGTTTAATAATGCTTTTAACCACTCACAATTAATTGATCACTTATTACTAAATAGTCATTCGTAATCGACTTGAATTCTGAAGTAGTAATCGATGCTAGATATATTCACTAGTTACATTATCGGATAGAAATTGAACTTAGAAGCATTAAGAGACACAATGAGCAAAAGGAAACCAAATGATGTGTTTGCTGAAGTTGACAAAATATTAATGTTTTACAAATCAGTCGGTTTGTGTTCTTTGACGTACTCACATGATAAATTTAAAAAATCAAGGAAATGGTTTGTAGCGAGCTTCATTACTCTATGGCCATTTCTTGTGGCCAACAGTTATATTGTCTTTGAGAGATGGTTGACGTTCGACCAAAGTCTGAACTCCTTCTTGGATGTAGCACGAATCATGTCAGTGGTTCTTTCCTTATTTCTGACCTGGCTGATGAACCACGTGAGATCGGACAGCTTGAACGAATGCCTCATGAATATACAACTTGTTGATTATTATCTCTATTCGGTTGGAGAGCAAGTCCCTCCTTCTAAGCCAAGTAAAGTAATATTATCAATGATTGTAACAATTACCTTGCCATTTAGCATTTTGGCATCAGGTTTTACAACTTTTGCACACACGATTTTGGCATTCACGTTATTTTACCCATTCATATTGATGATGACGGTACATTTGTTTTTGGATAGACTTTGCACCATTCTCTTTTTACGTTACCAAGCAATGACTAATGTTTTACGGAGGTGTCTTTCATTGGAAGGAAGGATTGAGGCAATGCTGTTGGAAAAGATGGTGTCTTGCTACGAAGATCTGAGTTCCTCGAGCCAAAGTATAAACAATTTCTTTTCATTACAGATTTTATTTATTCTAACATCGTTTTTCATAATATCTTTCAGCGAGGTTTATAACATCATAGGACTGTTCTATTTGGAAAATATTGACAGGAAGAGACTTATAATTATTACTCATGTATGTGGAGTAGTCATTACCTTAAAAACTATTTGGCGATTTAGTTACAAATTTTCTTCAATCTTAGAAGAGGTAATCATCTAACAACTAACTAAATAATCTAAAAAGATTTTTTTTTTTTTGTCTATAAAATATATATTTGCGCCTGTCAACAATAAGTTGACAATCAGCAAATGTGATGGCGATAATGATATAATGACATGACAGGCATGGGGAAGGAAAGTACTCATCATTACTTAGGTTGTCTAAGGAAGGAGATCCCTCATCCAACGCCTTTTTAGTCTCCTGCTTATGTTCTGAGGTATGTCAGCTGTGGCCATGTCTCTTATAAGTCTGTTATTATGTCCATTTAAATTTGTGTAAAATCGTTGATATAGGGTCGTTATATGTTGGTCAACTGTTGGAAAGTGGAGGTCAGTATGTAGAGTTTTGTTAGTCACGTACCAAGGTGCTTTTGTTATGAGTCGCAATAATTTTGATTGGAACGTTTGAAGTTTTTGTAGGTGAGTCTTTTTAGCGATGCCGTATATTTGTGATGAGTATGTCCATATGGGCTTAAGTAAGTATGTATATGTATTCAGTTTCTGTTTTAGTTTTAGTTTTAGGAGACTACAATGCTAAACACCAACGATGGGGTTGTCGATCATCCAACTCCCGTGGTAACATACTATCTTCTGTCTCAACTTCCAATAGTTACTCTGTCCTCTCTCCTATGAATCCTACCTATTGGCCAACATCCCTCAAAAAACGCCCTGATATCCTCGACATATTTGTCACCTCCCAAATTTCCTCTTCCCATGTCACAATAAAATCCCTGGATGACCTCTCCTCAGATCATTCTCCAGTTCTGCTTTCATTACACACAACCTTCGCTCCTAAGCCCTCGTCCTCTCCTACACTGATTACAGGACGAGTAAACTGGGACAATTTTCGTAAAGACCTGGAAAATAAATTGGACCTAAATATTCCACTTAAGACGAAACGTGATATTGACACAGCCATAAAAGAACTTACTACATCTATAAGTGACAAAATAAAGAATAATACATCTACCAATAAAACTGACAACTCCCAACAGACAAATTTGCCGCAGCATATTCGTATCTTATTAAGGGAAAAACGCAGAGCAAGATCGAAGTGGCACAGGACTAGATATCCATCAGATAAGACATATTACAACAAATTAACTAACCAACTAAAAGCTGAAATTAGAAAATACAAAGTTCAAAATTTACATAACATGACAGAAAAACTTACTACTTGTGATAAATCACTATGGTTGACCACTAAAAAACTCCTTAAATTCAAAGATTTTAACCACCCACTTATTACTGAAACCCAAACCTGGTCCAGATCTGATGATGAAAAATCTCAAATATTTGCTCAACACCTCTCAAAAACATTTAATCCACACCCAGACATCCTTAATCCAACCCACCTTGAGTTTATTGAAGCAGAATTGGATACCCCACTCCAATTGACTCCTCCACCTAAAGCATTTCATCCTTCAGAAATATCCAATATCATTAATAGATTACCTTCTCGCAAAGCTCCTGGCCATGACCTAATCACCTCCCAGATCCTAAAATGTCTTCCTAAAAAAGCCATACTGTTCCTAACCTATATATTTAATGCTGTACTCCGCACCACATATTTTCCTGACTCTTGGAAACTATCCATTGTCAAAATGATACCTAAACCCACACAGCCGCCAGAACACCCATCCTCTTACCGTCCTATCTCCCTTTTACCCATTATGGGCAAAATCCTGGAAAAACTCATTTTAAAACGCCTGTATCCCATCCTAGACTCTAAACACATTATCCCAGATCACCAATTTGGATTCCGCACATCCCACTCCACTATTCAGCAATGCCATCGTGTGGTAGATGTAGTCTCCTCTGCATTGGAGCGCGGAATGTACTGCACGGGAGTCTTTCTCGACGTTGAACAGGCGTTTGATAGAGTCTGGCATCCGGGACTGATGTACAAACTCCGTGAATTCCTACCACCTACATACTTCCTCATTATACGTTCCTACCTTACTGACAGATACTTCAAAGTCAATCATAACAATGCTTATTCATCTCTTTTTACTCAGTCTGCCGGTGTTCCTCAAGGTAGTATCCTAGGTCCTATCCTTTACACAGTTTATACAGCTGACATCCCAACCCAATCCAACACTGTCATCACCACCTATGCCGATGACACGTGTATCCTATCAGTTAATAACGATCCTTTAATTGCATCCCAAACTCTTCAATCACATATCACAAGCCTTGAAGAATGGTGTAAAAATTGGAGAATAAAAATAAATTCCAACAAATCCCATCAAATCACTTTTACCCTCCGTCGTAAACCTATGACCTCTTGTCCTACAGTATCCTTCAATAATACTCCACTTATTCCTGTTGAGCAAATCCGCTACTTAGGACTCCACCTTGACAAACGACTCACTTGGAACCCCCATACCAGACTGAAACGACTAGAAACCGCCCGACGTTTTCGACTACTGCAGCACTTACTAGACAAACGATCTAAGCTTTCAATCAATTATAAACGACTCGTATATATGACAATAATAAGACCTATTTGGACTTACGGAATTGAGCTTTGGGGCTCCACTAAACCATCGAATTCCTCTCGTATCCAATCCTTACAATCCAAAATCCTTCGTAAAATCCTCAACGCTCCTTACTTTGTCACAAATAAAATCATCCATAAAGACCTTAATGTTCCATATGTTTCCGATCTGGCCCAATCCAGATATCTTTCCTTCCATAACAAACTGCAGAATCATCCGAATCCTCTCGTTTCAAACCTTGCTTCCTCCTCGATCCCTGATAACCCTCCGAGGCGTCTGAAAAGAAGATGGCCTCGGGATCTTCTAATATAGAACTTTGATTTGAGTTCTACCAATGGGTAGTTTCTCTTCATGTTGTACATGCCATGTTACAAATTTCTCATTTACTTATTGTATTCTCTATGTAATACAGTTGTAAATTCCATTGAAATAAAAAAAAAAAAAAAAAAAAAAAAAAAGTTTTAGTTTTGAAGATTTGGCAAAAAGAGAGTAAAGTAGTTTGAGTCGTTTGTTAAGTGTCATACGCTTCATTTTAACATGTGGGCCCCATGTCATCCTTCTGTCGAAAGTGAGTCCAAGGTAAAGTACCGTGTCCGTTTGAGGAATTTGATTGTTGTCAATATAAACTGGAGGACAGGTGTTTTTTCGTAGAGTAAATGTTATATGTTTGGCTTTGTCATGATTAAGTCGAATTTTCCATATTGTGAACCAATCTTGTAGTTTAAACAAATGATGTTGTAGAGTTAGTGAGGCCTGTGTAGGGTCTTGATGTTTTGTGAGGATCGTTGTATCGTCTGCATATGTAGCTGTCAAGATTTTAGTTTGGTATTTTGGACTATTTAATTTATTTGAGTGAAAACTACAGAGTCCTTCTTGATATATTTCCTTCTATAATCCCAATAACTTTTACCCTACTATTTTTTAAATTGTATTGCACTCGTTTTCTACCTCTCTGACATCAGTTATATTTTTCCCTTCTATTTTATAAGGAAAGGATCATTTATGAAAAGAAAATTAATGAAATTCCTGTCTTAGGAGAACAGGTAAGTATAACTTTCAAAGACAGAGGCTAAATTTCAGTGTGGGGAGAAATATAGTGAGAATCTAAATATGTGATATTGACAAAGAAAATATTTCATGAATTTTAATCATTAATCACTATATTTTCACATAGCATCCTTAACCATTTCAGATATAAATAAATATGCATACATGTAGAATTGCTATATTCTTATAAAAATTGTTCTAGAACAACCCGATTCTTCATTTGTTCCATATCTATTTTCAGGTTAATGAGTTTAACTCACTTCTATTCCGGTTCATGATAGAAGATAAAACTAACGAAATTCTATATAACGTAAGTACCTTTTACAATCTATTAACGAAACATATATTTAAATAGAATATGATTATAACGTGGGGGTGCGGTCAGAAATGAAACAAGTCATAACTGTGCTGAATAATTAATTTTTAATGCATTACCCAATTCCTACCCAGTTGAAGCCGGTGTTCCTCTGGGCAGCGTCTTGGGCCCCGTCCTTTATATCCTTTTTACCTGTCCATCCCAATACCTTCCTGGCAACATTTGCTGATGTTACCGCCATCCTATCATCCAACTCAGATCCCGAAATAGCATCTTTAAATCTGCAAAGGCACCCCTCCATGATTGAACACTGGTGTAATAAATGGCGCATCAAAGTAAACGAATCCAAACCCAAGTACATTACCTTCACACTCAGCTGCAGATCCTGTCCATCAGTCCACTTTAATTCCATCCAGCTTCCTTTTTCAGACACGGTCCGGTAACTTGCCTTTCTCTTAGACCGTAGACTAACGTGGAACTTACATACTAGACTTAAATGGCATGAACTTTGAACGATGAATTATACAGATCACTGACTAGAAAATCTCAACTTTCAATTGACAATGAATTACTGATCTACAAGACAATCCTGAAATCTATTTGCACGTACGGACTTGAACTGAACGTGCAGCAAAATTTTCTAACATCAAATGCATCCAATCCTTTCAATCCAAAATCCTCCGAACAATAGTCGATGCTCCGTTCCATGTTACCAACAAAACCTTACATCATGACCTTAATATCCCATTTATTCTTGACCTTATTCCTCAAAAAAATTTCCGAATTCCATCAGAGCCTTGTTCCTTATCCTTCATCCATCCAATCATCCAAATCCTTAACCTCCTAGTCTTCATCTCAGTTATCAATTCATGCATCAGTTTTAACCTTTTAATACATGATAGACTAATGAATCGAGGAAACAATTTCTTGGATTGTTGCTAGGCAATGGATCAGTGCCGGTGCGAGTAGTTGTGCGCCATTTTCCTCTGTCCTTGCACAAGCTTGCGGTAGTTTAAATGTGAAATAGGAAGAGGAATAGGATGTAGGGAGGATTTTTGGAAAAAGAAAATACCGAGAAGTGGAGAAAATACTTTCCTCTACTTTACCTTAATAACCTCCATATCCATTTCTTTCCTATAATCAAAAACCTAGGAGTAACCATTGACTAGAACCTTTTCTCGAATAACCAAATCTCCCAGAGTATCCGAAAATCCATAACTGTTCTTTCATAAACAACTCCTAAGATTCCGTGATTGTACTCTGAAAACCAGATAGCTCCTTGTAACCTCCATTATATTTCCCCACTTCGGCTACGGTTGTTCGATGTATGGAGGGCTATCTGCCAGGCTAGAAATGAGACTAAAGAAACTCATGAACTGTTTCATAAGATACATCTTCGGGATCTCCAGCCGTTAGCATGTATCATTCTGATACTTTATACCACATCCTTAGCGTTTTCCTTTTCCAGGTCCTCAGAACCACAAACCCTCCCCACATCCTGGAACTCCTTACTTTAAGTTCATCTATCCACTCTATCAATATCAGGTCTCAACCTATAGATTTACTTTCCTTCAGCAAATCCTTCGTCATTCGTGCTGCCTCCTTTTGGAACTAGGATTCACCTAACTCTATACGTCAATTCTCGTCCACAACGTCCTTAAAACAAATCCTGTTCCAACATCTACTCCATATTTAAACTTCTGCAAACATGTAAAATTCACTTGCTTCTGTGCAACGTTACAATTGCAGTTAATTAGGCATCATTTTGTTTACATCTAAGCTAGACTAATGTTCTTTATTATGTAACTCTGTTGTTAATCTTAGAGGACTGTAGTCCCAGAATAAAATTATTTTTCCATTCATTTTCATTTATTCATTCATTCGGAAGGAATTGCTGTCGGAAAGTAGGATAGAGCCACTTTAACTCGGTGTATAAGGAGGAAACATGGGAACGCCAGGGGGTCACAGAGATGAATTTTATTGATTTTTTGGAATTTTCACTTCTTGCAAAAATATTAGAACAATCATGCGATTATCTGCTAAATGCTTTGAAAACATTTATTGAAACTTTCAATACAAGCTTGAAAATATTGTCTCGCTTATTTATATAAATATGATTGCAGGAAAAGTTGATGGCCCACTTCACGATGAAACGAGAAATCGCCTTCACAGCAGGCGGCTTCTTCAAGTTGGATTATACTCTTGTTCATTCAGTGAGTTCCTTAGCATGAGTTAGAGGAGTAGAGAAGTTTGAATGTCTCTATTCTGTGAATTACGATACACTATGTAGTAAAACCAATCGGAACTAAATCTATATCACTTTATACATTTTTTCAAATACTTGTTTTTTTCCTTTTCAAAATTAAAACCCTTGAAGAATGGTGTCAAAATTAGAGGATTAAAATAAATTTCAAAAAATCTCGTCAAATTACCTTTAATTACAGTATCCTTTAATATTACCCCTCTTATCCATGTTGAACAAATCAGATAAGTTGGACTCAACTTAGATAAACGTCTAACTTCGAATCCTCATACCAGACATAAACGACAAGAAACCGTTGGACGTTTCCGAATATTCCAGTACTTACTAGACAAACGCTCTAAGCATTCACTTAATTACAAAAGACCCATATACATGACTACAATAAGACCTATTTGGACTTACGGAGTTGAGCTTTGGGGCTCCACTAACCGTCGAATTCCCCTCGTATCCAATCTTTACAATCAAAAATCCTTCGTAAAATCCTTAATGCTCCTTACTCTATATTTCCGAATTAGTCCAATCCAGATACCTATTCTTCCAAAATAAATTTCAGACCCATCCGAACCCTCTCGTTTCTAACCTTGCTCCCTCCTCGATCCCTGATAACACTCGTCCTGATGCGTATGAAAAGATGGTCTCGAGATCTTCTATTGTAAATACTTTTTTTTTTTTAGAGTGCTACAAGGGGGCAGTTTCTCAATAAGTGTTTTAAGGATATTATTTTTAGTTATCACATTTACTGAATGTATTTTTCTTAATACAGTTGTAAATATCATAAATAAATAAACAAAAATTAAAACCTTTCATTTAATATGTTATTTAACATAAACCATCACTCCTGAGAGCTGAGAAAGGGATCAATGAGGTACTACGGTAGTATTATATTTAGTGTAGATACTTGATACAAAAGTAAATAAATCAGTTTGTTTCATTGCTAAATTTGATAGATGGTTTGATAGTTGGTCATGATGATAGTCATTTCAAAATAATGATTTTTAGAAACTTGGGGTACCAAGAGACTTTTTATAATATGTATTTATTTAAGTTTACGCATTTTTCATTAATTTTGTCTTTTCTATTTGCTTACAGATGGTAGCTTCAGCCACTACATACTTGGTCTTGCTAATCCAGTTCGGGAAACTTCCTGAAGAACCTGTGCCATCATCCACTCTTCCAATGTGGTCCACCACAAGCAACTGGAGTTGAATTATTTCAAAAAGAATTCAGAGATATTCAATCATTTTAATATTCTCGTTAAATTATCATACTTGTAACCTATTCGTGGTTATCTCAAATTAAGGGTGTTAAATGCTACAAAGCAAATTGATATACGGCTGCAAGACCTGTTCACTAACCAATCATTCCTAGTGATTCATTTCATAGTGAAGAATGATAGTTATGATTCATCCCTCCATTTACACGCGATGCTCTTACTATCCTTCTCCACCGCCAAGTTGAACTTTATGGGATTCATATACTTCTCTATATATTAGGACACGGTATTTTGGTTCATTTACACAAGCTTTCGTCAATCTCTCAGTTCTATTTTCACTAGGTTTCCAGCTTAAAGCGGACCATTTCAAGAAGACTTTTAGTCTGTTAATACAGTAACTGAACTATAAATTTATTGAATGAAATGTAATTCAAACATCACTTTATTCTTTATCGAGCAAATTTATCACATTGCATTGCTTAGGACCCGCTTGTAGAACCTAATCTCAGTGTCCCTTTCAAGCAACAATTTTTTTTTTTCCCTCCAAACTATGTCCTTCTTGTTCTTTTCGCAGTTTCCTTGACTCCTTCCCAAGTCTTCGTAGACCTTGTTCTCGGTGTACTTCCTTCCATTTCTATCTCATATGTGACTCATGCCTCAAGTGCACAAATGTGAAAAACACCACTGACAGTTCTTTGCTAATGAATGGATAAATGCTGATAGATGGTGTAAATAACATGTTAAAGGTTAATTGTAAATAATTTGTTTTGGCGTGAATTGCAAATAGCCTTCCGCTTTTATCGTGGAACTAGGTTATTTACACTCGTGAATACTAAAACAAAACCCCGGCACTGGATAGAGACTTTTTGAGGGTGTTTAACTGTTGTTGGGAATTCGGGAAGCTAATACTTTTGTGACACTGAGTGAGAAGAAACAACAAGAATATGTATATGAAATGTGGGACTTAGTAAATACACTTTGAATGAATTGACTCACCTGATTTGTTATTCTTCAATCGTGAGGCATATAGGACAACTAAATAAATAAATGACTTTTCACTCCTCTCTAACAAAACAATTTATTTTACAATTGTAATAAGTGAATCTAATAAAGTCTTATAACTGTCGGCTTGATCTTCTTGGTCTTCAATGTCCCTGCCTCTCTCATCTCAGGTCACGTCCTCTCGCCTTCGTATCTCTGCCTCAAGTGCCTTCTATCTTTTCTGCCGTCTTTCTCCAGCTGTTACTACCTGCACCGTCATTTTTCCAGAGTTCTTCTTCATCGATTTTTTATCGATATGAGACTTTTCAATCAATAATTTGTCCACTGCATAACTGGGTACAATTCGTAGTGCAACCTCACTTTCCTATATATTCTTTCTCATTCCCTCTCACAATGTCATCTAAAGGAGTAAATACAGGGGGGTGTCTAATACAATGGACTCGGCCGGCTTTAGAATTCTACTAAAATATTTCAAAGAAAACCAATACCAATAATAAATAGCAATTACTACAAAAATAATACTTATTAAAGCTTTTATGTTTCTAATTATTTTAAAATTTGTTTATAAATTCCAGAGAACTACTTCTATATTTCTTTTCTTCTATTTATTTACTTTTTTTAAACATGTATTTGTTCATAATTATAATGTTAAGTACGCACTTGTCATTTGTAAATTTTTGAAGATTATGGGCTCCTATTCACTATTACTACCTGATTAGTGGATGACAGACGAATAAATGAATATTTATCATCAAGAGTTTTTTTTTCCTGCTCAATTCTTAAATAATTAAAATAAATTTATGATTAAAATAAAAAAAAAATACTTAATTGTTGTAAAGAAAATAATTCTGAAAAACTTGTATGAAATTAAGAAAAATAGATTCATGTCGTATTTTTCTTATTTGTTTTTATTTTGTTTGGTACAAATTAAAAAGTAGATTTATTAATGCTTATCTGAGGAAATTATTTGAAAAATCGATTTTAAAATCAATTGAACCGTTCATTTTTATTTCTATTATTTTATTTTCAAACGTTCAATAATGTGACGCCACATTTTTTTTTTTATAAATTGTGAAGATGTTCCCTAAAAAGTTTTAACACAAAGTAAAGTCACATCCATATACAACTCTGAAATTTAATTTAGAAAGCCTCTAGAGCTACACATAAATTTAAAACCGGAAAAAAACATAAGAAATGTCTAAATATATCCAGGAAATATAAATATAAAATTTACTTTATCATGTATATGTAAGTCAGTTCTAATAAAGCTGTGAGACCTAAACACTAAACAACACACAAGAAACAACTATTGAAAGCTTTAAGGAAAATCGTCGGCAGGATGTGATGGGGGCCTATATTGGAGGATTGGAGCTGCGAACTACGACCGGTGGCAACACTGGTTGAGGAAACAGTAGGAAGGTTCGAAAAATGGTGAGAGTTAGCACGAGTGAATGTCTCCCATGTTAGCACTGCATTCTGTGATAAAGAAGCCTATAGAAGAATACACCTTTGTTAGGATAAATGCCCACGAGCAGGTAACACATTTGCTGATACCTTTCACGTGCAAACTAAACTACCTTGTGAAGTTCAGTAATGAGGGATCATTATCATTATCGATTTCCTATCCACCTTATGAATCGATTGACATAGAGAAATTATATAGTTGTTTCTTTTCAGTGGAGATATCTTGCTAGGACGGCAAAGAATATGATACCTTTTGGAGGTTGACGTCTGGTTGGGAGTTAGACTATTTATTGCTTGTGTTATTGTTTTATCATATTTATTTCTTGAGCTAACTTTTAAGTATCATTATATAGAAATATATCTAGCTAGCATGCGCATGTTGTTATTGTTATTTTAGTTATTTATATGCACATTATTTTTATAGATTGTTTTATTAGTAAGTTCTATTATATTTATTGTTATGTAATATTATTATATTTAGTGTAGTTAGTAGTTTAGTAGATTATATTTATTAACTGTGTTTGTAATTTAGCTTATATAGTTCCATGTTGAACAACATAATATACTCGCAAAAACTCAGTAATTATTCATTATTTTTCCTGACGCCTGTCTTATACTGGATAATTGGAACATTTTGATAACAGAGTACTAACACATGGAGGAAAAGAGTCAATAAAGAAAATGTTCAATCAATATTAATTAAAATGAAGACAAGGAGGTTAAGATGGCCTAGGATAATATGGAAGACAATAAAAACAAGATGGGTAGTTCGAATCAGTAAAGATACAACAAAGCTGCATAAAGAAAACTGGAAAGAAATATCCTAAGATAAGCAGACACGCAGAAGACAGGTTCAGATACAGATTCAGATACTACGAGTTCTGAAAAACAATATATATTTGTATGATGTTTGTTTTCTTTTGGTTATAGCCTATACATCTTCGGTCACTTGAAACACCCTTCTCCTGTGGAAATATTTCTTTCGACGGTTTCTCTCCATATTGACGTGTTTGTCCAACACGTTTTTAGTCTCCCACGTGTTCTCCTGCCAACTATTAAAGCACTCATAGGTTCATCTTATCATAACCTAAAAATATTTTATTTACGAAAATTCTCGGAAAATTTGTTTACTGATCACCCCAACCATTCTTCTCTTATCTTATTTTCTATTTACCATATATAAGAAATACTGTATTTAATTTGATCAATTGGATTCATCTTGGATAATGTATTCTTTCACAAGGATAATAATTATTGAGTCAACATTCTAGATATAGAAATGGATACTAGCTATTCGTTATAGATCATTATTATAGTTTTCTTTGTAATTGAAGAGAACTCATGGTCTGTTAAGTTAAATAGATTTCCCCTTGGTCAGGGGGTATGCTTTCAAGCTTTTATCATTAATTGATCACTTATCGCAAAATACTCACTCATGGTATATTTAAAAGCGAAAGTAATCGATATTGGGGCTTTTCATTTATTACTTGAGCGGATAGAAAGTAAGTTGAGAAGGATTGAGAGAAAAAATGGACAAAAGGAAGCCGAATGATGTATTCGTTGAAGTTGACAAAATTTTATTTATTTACAGAGCTATCGGTGTGTGTAGTTTAGCTCATTCACAAGGCAAGTTCAAGACTTCAAAAAAGTGGTTCATTTGGAGCACCTTCACAGTTTGGCCATTTCTGATTAGCAACGTTTATTTTACGTACTACGTTTATCGAAAGGTTAAAATTAGTTTGCAGACATTTCTGGATGTAGCCCGAATTATTTCAATTTGTCTTAATTTGTTTTTAACGTGGATTTCGAGTGGTACAAGAGTCCAGAAATTGAACAGATCGCTCAGGAAAATACAAATAGTTGACCATTACCTCTTTTCGGTTGGTGTACAAGTCCCTCCTTCTAAACCCAGCAAAATAATAATGTTGGCAATAGGATTACTCATCCTTTCATATAGTATTTGGATGATTTTTATTAATAGTTTAGTATATCAGATCTTGATTTCAGCATTTTTTTATTCCCACTTCATGATGTTGATGAGTCATTTTTTATTGGATAGGCTGTTTACTATACTATTTTTGCGTTACCAAGCAATTACAAATGCATTGAGGAGATGTTGCAGAAAAACATTGCAAGGAAATCACAAACAATTATTATCAGAAGAAATGAATTACTGTTTCGAGAGTCTCTGCTCATCTGGAGAAAGTATCAATGATTTATTTTCTTTACAAATTTTATTTATTCTCACAACAGTGTTCATTATATCCTTCAGCGAAATCCATGGGATAATTAAGTTGTTCTATTTAGACCAAAGTATATTAAGAAATAAGAATTTGTCCATTATAAGCCACTTATGTGTGACAGTTCTCAGCTTTCTAACGATCTGGCGATTCGGTTATAGATTTTCTTCAATTTTAGATAAGGTAAATAATTTATTTTTATTTATAAAATTTATAAGTAAATGAAATGAAACCTACTTACTGTGAACATACAAATACAATAACATGAAAAGGTTTGTCTAGAAATA